TTCAAGTAGCCCAGAGAGAAAGATGTGGATGTCTCACAAAAGGCAAATGGCGGCCTCAGTTAAGGGAAACACTTCAGTTGGGTGTTCTGGGGAGGAGTTCTACCTCTTCCAATGTCACGCTGATCCAGGGGTCTGTGCAGGGTCTCAGTAATCACACCGGTGGCTCCCCATTCTTCAGCCTCCGGACAGAGATACAGTCAGGGAGGCTGTCAGTCATGGAAATGTCCCCATGGGAACATGGAAACCCAAGTGCTTGCATTCGCCTTTTTGGAGCTTTTAACCCACACGTTCTTTAGATGTGCCAAATCCATTTTGGTCTTACATATGGCCCTAGTTGAAGTTGCTTTGGAAAGAAGGCTAAAAGGAAAAATAGAGCCCTCTGGAAGCAATAAGAAGCGAAGACTGTTCCCTATGTGGGGCTTGCAGCCACACTTGACTGTCTTCTTCCTCGTCCAGCCTGTGGAAGGCTCTCTGGGCACCTCGTGCTGTTCCTGAAATGCTGCCACTAAAATTCAAAACTTGATTTAATACAGCTTGCTTAATTGACCTTTAAAAAAATTCATTTTGTCATCTAAAAATGAACACTTAACAGGAGTAATTGTATTTGGAAAACAGAATGTCTATTCTCCATTTGGTTAATGCAGATAAGCTTTCCATGTGCTTCCTTTTCAAAGCTCAAAATGTCTGCTGAACTGTAAAATAATTGAAATAATGTTAGAGTTTTAAAGCTGTCCAAAATTAAGCTGTTCAAAAGTTACGGTAATTTCAAAGAACTGCAGGTTTTTGCATTAGAGGAAAACTGTAGTTGTTTAAGAGAGGCTCTTTTTTGTAATTGTCAATTCTAATACTTGAAATAACCATTTTTTAATGTTTATTTTTGAGAGAGAGAGAGAGAGAGAGAGAGAGAGAGGGCAAGTGTGAGCAGGGGAGGGGGCAGAGAGAGGGAGAGAGAGAAGCCCAAGCAGGTTCTGCACTGCAGCACAGAGCCCGATGCAGGGGCTCAAACCCAAGAACTGTGAGATCATGACTTGAGCTAAAGTCCAGCACTCAACTGACTGAGCCACCCAGGTGCCCCTGAAAATAATCATTTAATACCTCTTGTAGGAAATAGGATTTTTCATTAATGCCGTGTGTAGAAATAACAGTGTCTGGATTAAAAATATTTCCTGTAAATTTGTAGTAGAGATTCCAAAGTAAATTTAATTTTCTCAATAAGCCATGACCATGCACAATTATCTATCTATTTACTTTTGAGAGAGAGAGAGTGAGCACGGGGGAGGGACACACACACACACACACACACACACACACACACACACACACAGAGAGAGAGAGAGAGAGAGAGAGAGAGAGAGAGAATCTCAAGCAGGCTCTGCGTGTCAGTACAGAGCCTGACATGGGGCTCAAACTCCTGAACTGTGAGATCATGACCTGAGCCAAAGTCAAGAGTTACATGCTTAACCGACTGAGTCACCCAGGCTCCCCTCTAACTGACAATTTTGTTAAATGTTCATTGTTGTGTGTTACCATTTATCATAAACCACCAGTCTGTAAACACAAACTGAAAGTTAAGCGTATAGAAATGAAGGAAATATGAACAAATCTTGAAACATTAGCAATTTCGTAATGATCATTAAAAATCGGTCCTACTTACTGAAAGAGTTCAGCATCTGAGCCAAGATGTCGGGCACTTCCTGTGATTGTCTTAGCAGGAGGGGAAAGAGCTGCTGTCTTTCCACGTCAGACTTGCAAGAATGTCTTGTGTGCACGTGTGTCTTCTGTTAGACCTTCAGCTTCATGGGATTTTTATCAGGGGAAAGATTTCTATCAGGGGAAAGATTTCTATCAGGAGAAAAATCCCATGAATCCCAGCTTCATGGGATTCCTATCAGGGGAAAGTTTGTCTTGGTCAAACTCTTTACCAAGAACACATAGAAGAATTAAACCCGTGGATTGCTATTTGGGCTTTGACACTGACTGGTTGGGAGATATTGGCCAAGTTTCCCATTTCTCTGGGTCAGTGATACCCCTTTTAGAAAGCAGGATGCAACTATTGAAGAGTGGAGAAGGCACTTGTACACTGAGTGCTCCTTAAATGCATGTGCTGGTTCTTGGCAGTTTTGAAATCTGATTTGGGGCTCTAAGAAATCACTCTGTATATTCTCTTCTTGGGAAGTGGAGGCAGGGGACTGCCCCAGTCTGCTTGGGTCGATTGGCACCTAGCTCAGAAAGGTCCCTCCGAAGAAACGCCTGGTTTCTTTCCATCAATACTAGGTGTTTTGGTACATAAACTGTCTAACATATTTTTTTACCATTCCATATATGGAATAGAAAGTGTAGAATGCTGTATAATAATACATGAATGAAAAGCATCTTCACAGCCTTTTTAAGGAGGTAAAATAAAAAAGCATTTACCAGCAAAATAGTATGGCCATGGTGATCCTTTTGCCCATATGTTTTGGCCTGAAGTCCATTATGACTAGACTGAATTAGGAGTGGGCATAGAACAGATGGGCCATGCCCAACCAAAGCTCCCTAAGGGGGATTCCTGGATTCGTTTTCACACTCCTGGTAGGATTCTTCTTGGCTGTTATTCTGAGACGCTTGAACTCGCAGGACCTTAGAGACGATGACCCAGGGACTTCACCCCAGTGTCTCACTGGAGTGGGGCTGGGTACCCCTTCTCTCCGGATACATCAGCTGTGAAGTGACGGCTGATACACGTGACTTTCACGTGCCTGAGAGCCAGGATTCTGCATCTGTCCTCCACCTCCAGAACCTCAGAGAAGCTTCATACGTGCTTGTCCAATGAGCAGGTGTTTGGGAGAAAAGGAAGGGGCGTGTTTGAGAGGTCCAAATTTCTTTTTAGGTTGCGCCCCTGATCTTCCATATGCCCTTTTGTCTGTGATGCTTGTACCCATGGAGCTTATACCGCAGACCCCTGGACAGTGAAATGGTGACCATTACTGTTTGATCATGACCTGTGGTGCGGCTCCCCTTCTTCATTCAGGAAGGGGGCCCAGTGTCCTTGCAGCCCTTGCTGTCTTCAGACCCACCGTGAGCAGCGCCTGGTGCCCAGGTTCTTCTCGCGAACACACATCCGGACTCCCCGTGGAAGAGCTGGCATGGTGTCTCCCTGTCTTTCCAGCTGTGCTGGGGTTTGGGGTTCCTTATGCAACACGGGTCACTCTGCACGCGGGAGGAGCTCTTTCCTTGCTTAGCTTCCCTTTTGTTCTTGAGTGAAGAGCTGTGGGGCGGAGCTCTCCTGATGCCGCTCTTCTGCTTCCCTGACCTTGGCTCTTTCCCCACTTGATTTATCACCTTTCCACCCCCCTCAGTGTTCTTCTGTCTCTGCTGCTTTTTTGACGAAAACAGCCTGTTCGGTTACCTACTAAGCCATTCCCTTTTCCATTCCGAATCTTTCTGTAAGCTCTCCTGTGGCTTTTCTTTCTCACTGAGGTGACGTTCACATAACATCAATTAGCCATTTTAAAAGGAAGAATATGGTGGCATTTAGTACATTCACGGTGTTCTGCGACCATCGCCTCCATCCCGTCCCAGGAAGTCTGTCATCACCCCAAAAGGGACCTCTGCGCCTACCAGGTGGTGACTTCCCCTACCCCCTTTTCCAGCCCCTGGTAGCCACCAGTTTGCTGCCCGTCTCTGTTCATTTATCTATTCTAGATAGTCCGTACAAATGGAACCTGTGGGCTTTTGCCTTAGCTGCGTTCTCTTAGCATAATGCTCTTGGGGTTCATCTGTGTTAAAACATGTTATCTCAGTACGTCGTTGCTTTTTTCTGGCCGACTCGTATTCCATTGCATGGATGTGCCACAGGCCGTGTATCCGTTCATCCGCTGGTGGACATTTGTGTGGTTTCCACCTTTTGCCTGTTGTGAATCGTGCTATTGCAAACACGTGTGTGCATGTATCTGTTTGAATGCCTGTTTTCAGTTCTTTAAGATACGTACTTAAGAACGGGATCACTGGGTCCTAAGGTGGTTCTGGGCTTAACTTTTGGAGAACCTGCCAAGTGGTTTTGATAACAGCTGAACCACCTCTGAGCTGTTTCAATTTGTTACACGTCCACACCACTCGATCCTCTGGCGTCAGCTCCCCCAGATGAAACCCGACCACCCTCCAGGGATCTCCCGACACAGTTGGAGACATAGCTCAGGAATCCAGATGTGTGTTTGGAAGCACAGATACTAAACCCGAGGAGTTAGGGACCAGCTTGCATCCAGATCCAGAGAGTGCTCAGAGTTACCTAATGTCTGCAGTAGTTTGGGGATGAAAGTTGGAAATCTTCAAATATTGAAAAAGAATGATTTTTTTCTTCCCCCTCACAAGAGTTAGTCCTTTATTGTAATCCATTGGGTTTGTTTGAATGTGCCGTCTTATTTTCTCATAATACTACTCTCTAAATGGGTGCGGTTCGGGGCGCCTGGGTGGCTCAGTCGGTTAGGCGTCTGACTTCGGCTCAGGTCCCGATCTCGCGGTCCGTGGGTCCGAGCCCCGCGTCGGGCTCTGTGCTGACAGCTCAGAGCCTGGAAGCTGCTTTGGAGTCTGTGTCTCCCTCTCTCTGTGCCCCTCCCCAGTTTGTGCTTAGTCTCTCTCTGTCTCTTTCAAAAATAAGTAAATATTAAATTTTTTTTTTCAACGTTTTTTATTTTTGGGACAGAGAGAGACAGAGCATGAACGGGGGAGGGGCAGAGAGAGAGGGAGACACAGAAACGGAAACAGGCTCCAGGCTCCGAGCCATCAGCCCAGAGCCCGACGCGGGGCTCGAACTCACGGACCGCGAGATCGTGACCTGGCTGAAGTCGGACGCTTAACCGACTGCGCCACCCAGGCGCCCCTAAAATAAGTAAATATTAAAGAAGAAAAACACAAAACTACACGGGTGCAGTTCGCGGCGTCTTGTGCAGCCTTTCGTGGGCAAGGGAGAGAAGCACTGGGGACGGGCGCTCTTGCTGACTCTCCCTGTTCTTCTCCCGTAGGTGTCCTTCTTCCTCTTCATTATCTTCGTGGTATACACCATGCTCCCCTTCAACATGCGAGACGCCATCATCGCCAGCGTGCTCACGGCCTCCTCCCACACCGTCGTGCTGAGCATCTGCCTGTCCGCAACGCCCGGGGCCAAGGAGCACCTGGTCTGGCAGGTGGGTGACCAGTGCCCCCCACCCCCACCTCTGGGTGCCAGGGGTGCTGTGCACCTGTTCGGGGTGCGACTGGGGTACCCGGCAGGTGCCCGAGGTGGCTGTGTGTGGCTAGTGGGGAGCCAGCCACACCCCACCTCCAGCAGCGGCATCAGCACGTAGCAGTCAGCAACAGGGAACGTTGCGGACGGCCGCTCCACTTTGCTGGTTGCTGGATGGTCGTATGACTGTGGATGCTTCAAAGCTGTTCTTACTATGCGTTGGAATTCAGCACCCTGTTTTTAGAGTGAAAATAACTTACACAGTTAAATTCATAATTCTCCCCCACCTTCATATCCGATAAAGCCCTCTCTTTACAGAGGGGGAAAGATCTCCATTTCCTGATCTTCTGACAGGTCCGTGGGCATTAAAAAAAAAAAAATAAATCTTTCAAATGCTACGACAGCAAATTTAGCTTTGCTAGTAAGTGGGGTTTCGAAGAAGCCGTTGTGTTTAATTAGTTAAAAGCATTTGAAAAGTGACTTGATTTCCTGCTATGCACATCCATAAACATGAGGGTCAGTGGTTTGGAGTTGTCCCTAAGTATCTTTTTTTTTTACTTGAAACAGGTATGTTCAATTACGCTCTGTTAGAATCAAATTTAAGAAATGCAGCCATGGTGTAAAAACGCCGAGGGTGAGAGGACTGGTTAGGAACAGCACTGCCATTGAAAGTGGGGGTTTAGACACGGATCACACGAGCCCTGTGGGGTCTGAGAAACCCGTTTGTCGTTCACTCGGTGGAATGTTTCATTTGGAAACTTGACATAGAGCTGGAGGCTTATCCTTGGGTGTCTGGAAATCCCGCTTAGCTGGAAAGCCTTCTGGGGATCCCTTTTCTCAACATTCCTCTCCTAGAGCTCCTGTGAAGCCCGGCGTTCAGTCGGAGCGGTCTGAAAGACAGCCTTCACTGGCACGGGGTGAGCGTCAGAACCCTGGCCCTGATTCTGCACGGTGGGCTCCAGGTTCCCGCTGACTGGTTCAGACGTGGAGCAAAGCCACGTGCCCGCACGCATTCCCTGCCACTGGCCCGAGTAGCCGGCACCACCCGAGGCCCAGATGGCGACCCGTCAGTAACGGATCAAAGGAAGGAACGAAGGTGGTGTTTTATGAAAAGAAGAAACAATGCAGCTGCGCCTGGGAAGAGGCGGGGGAAATGTTCCTTTTTGTACGGGCTCTGCCCCAGCTTTTACTTCCTTGCGCCGCATGTCAGAGCCTCCCTTGAAGGTATTTATGGGATGTGTCTCCTCTCTCCCATAAATTCCATTTTTCCAGTCTCCCTGGAGTGGGGCTTGGGGGGGGGGTGGGTCTGTTTCTGCAGTAGGAACGGGTATGTGATCAGCTGAGCCAGCTGACATTATGACAGTCACTGCGGGAAAGCCCTCATCACACAGACACGGGGGCTCTCAAGCCTGTTTTCAGGGCTTACAACACTTTCCTGGTTTTAGGTTACCCTAGAACACATCCGCTGAACATTTCGTACCTATCTCTTTGGCCCCTTCATGAATAAATACAGTGTCTGCTGGGGCAGATGTAATAGAAAAAATATCTTGGAAAGGAGGATTAAGATACATGCCTGTAAGGATCAAATGGGTTTAAAAAAAAAAGCGGAGGGGGGGGAATAAATGGTTTGTCAAGAATCTGATGTATTCTAGGTCACTACGTACTGTAGTGCGTTTGCTTTTCTTTCAGAGCATTTTTATTTTCTTCTGCAAGTTCAAAAAATTGGGAAAGAATGTAATCTTAAACATTCAGTTACTCAATTTTCCAAACACACAAAGAAAAACAATTTTTATCAGTGGACAGCCAGAGATAGGATAATTCTGGAAGAGCAAAAAAGAATAAAAGTTTTTCATTCCAAATGATTCCATGTAAGAAAAACATTGAAAGGAAGCAGAAGAACAGAACGTCAGTTTTCCTTTTCTTCAGAAGTAATTTCACAATGATTCCGAGGGCAGGGAAAGGCAGGATACACTGACAGATTGAAAATGGAAGGTCCGTTGGTAAATGTCAAAGTCATGAGGAAAAGAGATTTAAGCACCTTTGGCCACTGCTGGACATGTAACCTACAAATAGCACTGCTTTGTGATGGGAGAAAAACACTTCATTGATAACTGTTGATGAAAAGTGTACATAAATTAGGATGATACACATTAGGTGGTTATACTGCCATGGTGTAATTGTTTAACGCAAAATTACTGAAAGGCTGTCAGTTTCATATGAAGAAAGAGGTTTGCTGATGAGTGGTGATCAGTGTCCCCCTACATTATAAACCGCTGAAGACAGAGTGCATTTTGTTTAGCGTGGACCCATATTAATGTTTGTTTGGGGATACCTGGGTGGCTCAGTTGGTTGAGCATCCAGCTCTTGATTTTGGCCCAGGTCATGATGTCATGGTTCATGGGAATGAGCCCTGTGTTGGGCTTGGTGCTCCGCATGGAGCCTGCTTGAGATTCTCCCTGTCCCCACCCCACCCTTCCTCTGCCCCTCTCCCCCACTCATGCTTTCTTTCTCTCTCAAAAAAATAAAGAAAAGAAAAGAATGTTTCACTTTATTTTTGGAACATTGCCAATCCACTGATAGCATGTAATGCTTCTGTGTTAACCAAAATGTCGACTTCATAGAAAACCCTATTCCCTTCCACGTTGATTAACAGAGTTCATTGTTCTCGGCACATTTATTTTCCCAGCATTCATCTTGAAGTAGAATTCAGTCTCAGGCTACAATATATTACCCAACTGAGGGAATTTACTTAATCACTGAAAGTGATGAATGAGCATTTCTAGTACATTTAAATATAAAGTATAATCCCTGACTTTTTTTTTTTACTTTTATTTTGAAACAATCACAGACCTACCAATAAGTTCCAAATCTAATACAGAGAATTTTTTTTCCTAATCCACCAAAAGATAAGTTACCAGTCTGATGCCTCATTGCTCCTAAATCCTTTATTTATTACTATTATTTTTAATGTTTATTTATTTTGAGAGAGAGAGAGAATGAGCTGGGGGCAGAGGGACAGGGAGACACAGAATCCGAAGCAGCTTCCAGGCTCTGAGCTGTCAACACAGAGCCCGACACGGGGCTCGAACTCACGAACCGTAAGATCAGGGCCTGAGCTCAAGTCGGAGCCGCTAAATGCTTTAGACAGTATCTCGTACGATGCCATTGCACTTAACCATAATGCAACTATGAAAATTGGGAAATTCACATGGCTCTGCTGTTGTGATTCAGATTCATCCAGCTTTCCCAACAACGTCCTTTACAGAAAAGGGCCCAGACCAGAATTCTGCAGCGTTGCCGGTGTGTTCTCTAATCTCTTTGGTGTCTTTCTTTTTTTTTTTTTTTTAATTTTTTTTTCAACGTTTATTTATTTTTGGGACAGAGAGAGACAGAGCATGAACGGGGGAGGGGCAGAGAGAGAGGGAGACACAGAATCGGAAACAGGCTCCAGGCTCTGAGCCATCAGCCCAGAGCCTGACGCGGGGCTCGAACTCACGGACCGCGAGATCGTGACCTGGCTGAAGTCGGACGCTTAACCGACTGCGCCACCCAGGCGCCCCTCTTTGGTGTCTTTCAATCTGCAGCAACCCCTTAGTCCTCCCATGGCTTTCGTGATGTTGACACTTTTGAGGATGGCATGCCAGGTACTTTATCAAATGGTCTTCAGGTTGACTTTGTCTGATGTTTCATCATGAATGGATTCGGTTGATGCATCTTTGGCAGGAAACACAGAGGTGATGGTGCATTCTCATCACGGTCTCTCAGGGTCTCATCGTTTATGTTGGACTTTCGTCTGATGGCCGTCTGCCAGGCTTTACCGCTTTGGCATTACTCTTCTCTTCTTTGTAATTAAGGCATATTTTGTGGGGAGGTACTTTGAAACCAGGCAAATATCCTGTTTTATTCACTTATTGATGTCTAGACCGTCTTGTGTTTCCCTGTTCTATACAGAGGGTTATAAGCCCACTTATATGAGCCCACAAGTCTGGGCTCAGACTTGTCCAGTGGGCGCCCCTTCAGGCTGGCTTCTGCACCTTTGGTGATGGTCCCCATCACTCTTTGAGCACTTTGTTGCTTTCTGACACAATAAGACGTTTCAGGCTCATCTCATGCTTTCCCTGCCCTGGCCCTAAAATCTGCCATCCCTCCGAGGAGCCCTGTTCTTCTTGGTGAAGAGTGGCACTTAGCAAGCTCTAGGCTTGTAGGTCTTCTCATTCCCACTGGGTTGTCACTACTCCAAGACAAGGGGCACACGCATTTACATCTACATCAACTTTTATCTATACCTACATATTAGACACCATGACTTCACACCGGTCTTTCCAGCCTGCCACGAGTTTCATGCCAGTGTTCTCCCTTTCTCTTGTGATTCCATGGCCAATAGTGAAAAAAGTTCAGTTGCAATGATTCTTAACGTATTTACTTACTGGATCAATGCCGGTGTGTAACCAGTCTCCTATCTCAGTCGCCACTCCTACCCCCACACAGGTGTCTTCTCACTTGGCCCACATTCCCCTCCCCTAACACCTGTCCCCCTCCCCTGGCTCAGGCTATGACACCACGTCCATCTGAGGGTGCCCCCTCCCCCAACCGGGGCTGTGTCCTCTGTGTCTTCCCCATTGTAGAGGCTGCTGGAACCCACCCCAGCTTTATCACCTTGGGCGAATTCAGCTTCCCTGGTCCCCTCTAGATGCAGATGTTCCTTGCTCTGCCTGATGGCTGGGGACTGAGTTATTCAGGTGAGAAGGAAACGGACAAGAAGGGCAGGAGGAGAGAGGATGGGGCAAGGGAATGGAAGAAAAAGAACACTATTTGAACAGAGTTTATTTGTGGAAGAGGAAGAAGTTTTTTTCCAGCTGCTCTCTGATCCATTTTGTACTGTACTAGTCTCCCAGCTTTTCCTGTAATTACTTCGTCTTTGTTTTCCTAACTGGGTGTCAAAGAGCAGTTTTTCTGATATGA